CAATTAACACTAACTATGTATTTGTTGACATAAGGCATAAGACGCCGTAAAAGAGGTCGACCACTCAAGCAAGCTTTTCAGTGGATTGAAGCCATTGACCATATTTATACTGCGCTAGATGGAATGTCGTAAAGTCGACCATTGCCTCATTCTCTCCCTTCAAGTGCATCGCTGGAGAAATAGAAGACCAAGAGCCACACTTCCGCAGGAATTCCGTAGGAATCCAAAGCTCCATAGTTGGAACATGGAGCTTCTGCTTTAATCAAACCCGTTTTGGTGCGCGCTCTGCATTCGATTTCCATCCGGAAACTATACAATGGCCTTTGGTAGCCTGCCGATGAACTACTGGACAATGCTTTCATCCTCCCGGATGAATTTGGTAGCAATTGGCGGACCACGTAGGGTTAGAAGGTTTGCTTGGTTGGGGCGGATAACGATCCCGGATTCGACTTGGACTGGTGCAGTCATGGTGCTACTCGGCTCAACCCATTTTTTTGAAAAGGCCAGCCCTGTTCGAACCAGGTTTTCAAATCATCCATGCTCTACCAACTTTCTTGGGAAATTCGACTTACCCTTTCAAGTAGATCTTCTTGAGTAAAGAAGCCATCTTCATTCACTCGATAGTCAAGTGGATTAATGAAACCCGTTTGAAGAGGTGACAGAATAAAAGCTCCACAACCATATCCACCAACGATCATTCCACCGGCTAGTCCGACATTTTCTGGAAACCACTAAAGGGAAAGAATTAACGATATAAATAGAAATACAAATACCGCAATACTTCTGTATGTAGAGCAACTCACACGTTGAGCTGTGGTCAAAATAGAGTTATAAGCTATGCTTGAACCAAAACTTGCAAAAAATCCCATCGACACTAAGACGGCGCCGAACGAGTGTTGTATGGAGTAGTATGTCAGCGCTATACTTGTCCTTAAAAAGACTTCTTGAGATCATCGAAATCGTTATCTCTCCATTTATTTGTTTCACTTAGTTATTTATTTTATTATACTTAAAAGAACAACTTAGCATGGAATAAATCTGAACGGGAAAATCACTCATGTAGTGGTGAACCTCCTGGACTCGCTCGAGCAGAGCAAATGTGCTCGTTGAAATACTACTGCGACCCGGATTAGTTGTAAAATGCATGGCGTATCCCAAGAGGGGTCAAACAAAGCTGATTAACTTAAACTTTTTGACTGTTGACTTCGGCCGCGGGGTTTTTTTTAAAGAATGAATCAAGCAAACACTTCAGGTAAGGTCTTCAGGTTCACTTCAGGCATTCTGAAGACGGGGCCCAGAGGTTTGTGAGTGAGGAAAGTAGGGAGCTGCTTGCATCTTTCGCTCTGGTATCTATAGACTTCTGCTTCCATCCCAGCGGGTTGAATTCTGATCCCTTACCTCACCTCACTCGTTAAACTCTTCTATGCGGGTGATTCGCTCCTATTCCGCTATGAATTCACGTCAAGCACCCATAGAATGGCTGACTGGCTCAACTGCACCTGCAAATGGCTCCCAATGCATGCGCATTTACGACTTTGAATCGTGCCCCGCACCAGCCTCATAATGAAAGGGTGCCCGTAAAAGCTACGATGTGAATCTTAAACCCATCTAACTACCGTAGTACAGCTTCATCATAAACCTACAGCAATATCCTGGAGGATGTCTATTTCCTACAGTAATCTCGGTTCGGCTCGTCGGAGCATTCAGTTCATCTAGCGTTAACCTATGTAAGATTTCCCAAAATCGATGGTACGCCCTTCCATTTCAAAAGGGATCGAGGGGCCTTAAAAATTAGGAGTGGACTCTGTCCCATTTCAAGATACGCCATGGATCTAGAATTTAGCCGGAACCGCAGTAGTACATATTTGAATGCGTATCCGATTTATGAAAGACTTGCGGCATTACTTTCCCTTCGGCTAGAATGCCTACCAATGAGAGATTTCTATCGGAAGAAAAGCTTAATTGACCAGAAGAAGATCAATGTGTACAATCCCGGTTAGCGTAAGTGATAGTGGCCCTCCTTTTCACTCCGTCACCGGGCTCTGAACCTTTTTTCGAAAAGAATTTTGTTTGTTCAGGGGGATTCAATCAGTTAACCGTTTATAGAGCCCCCTTTCTCCCTAGGATGTCTCAGACAGTCTTTCAATACGATGACTGCTAGACAGCACCGACCCCATCAGTGATGCGCTCCAAACAAACATCCCTAGTGAATGGGTAAGAGTTGACAGTTTTTGGGTGCGTTCGGTACTGAGACTTGTCGCGGTAGCGACAGTATGTTAGAGGGAAGCAAACATAAGGCAATGGTGACTGATTGATGCCCAAATAGAGTGCTGAATACGCGTTCATTGATGGCACATAACACAAACATCATGCGTGTAAGGAAATCGCTTTTGTAACTCCTACACCCCCGTCATTTCCCTCCCTATCTTCGTCGTTGCTGACAAATCACATGTGGGTGTGGGTGTGACCTCATGAGGATGTACCCATACGGAGGAAGTGAATTAACAAATCACACCATTTAGTATACCCACACACAACAATCAACGACGCCAAGGCATAGGTAATCCGTTGCAGACGATAGATTAGGTTACCGCACACAGCTGGCTAATTGCCATGCACCGGGACACTAAGACAATTCGAGCTGTTCCGTATGCATACCTTAAGCGATCCCTTGCTATAACTGGTATTACTACAAAGGTCACTTACGTATAGAGAATCGATCCGACTATGGCAGCACGTCGTCCACCAAGTCGACGTTCCAATACACCACCCATCAGCATTGCGAATGGTACACCACCTGGAAGATTTCAGTTCAACCGAGGCCATAGGGCGGATAACCTTGAGCTATGGATAGGGTACGGTAGAATATTGTAATTTATCAGTGTCTGATAGGAATTTTTGAAATAGGTATTGTAATTTTTTTGATTGGGAAGCTGTGTGGGCAGAAGCTCCCCTTTCCTCGACAGCAAGAAGTTGTCCGGGTTGCAGTCCCTGGTTAGATTGGCCGAATAAGACCTTTTCATCCACCACAGTCTGTTTGTTCAGGGATTCCCAGGAGTCAGCTGGACCATGCCATGCAAGACTTGCTCGCTGGCCCTTTTTCTCCCTACAGCTGAGATCAGATCTGTTCAAGAAAAATGCGTGGGAATTTGAGGCCTAAGGAATTAGTTTTCGTAAGATTTGGCCGTTGCCGTAGTTTTTTTTGGTGGAAGAGGGGGGGGGGGGGGGGGGGGGGGGGGGGGGTTNTTTTTTTTGGTGGAAGAGGGGGGTGGGGGAGGGATGGAGGGGGTTGTTCCCTATCCAATAGTTTTCAATGGGTCATGCTATATCTACCACCATTTTTCAGATTTTCCATCCAACGAAGTGACGATAGTTCTTTCCCGTCGATGCGTTTCATTTTGCCCCTACATCCCTCGAATAGAGGCTCAGAGACTTCCTATACATTCCATAGAATTGAGCGAATGTCAGCTATCGGATTTGTTCCCTCGTATTCATGCCTTAGAGAAGAAGGGATGTCAGGGAAGTAAGGTGGTGAGAGGTAAAAAAAGTGAATGGATGCCGAGATGAAAAGGACTCAATCAGTCAGCGGTAAGATGAATCAGAACGAACTCGTGCTCGTACTCACTGGCACCGCCATGGTGTCGTCAGCAGGCATTCTCATACACTGGCTAGCTGACGCTCACCAACTCATTCATTCACTCACTTACTCACTCATCAACGTCTGTAACCAGATCAGCTGTCCAAATCGCATTGTTGGATCGATTCGCCATCGAAAATATGATACCATGTATGGTAAAAGGTTACCTGAAAGTGTACTGGTCAAGGCATCAGGATTTGATAATCGAAAATTCAAAAGGAATAAAAAATATGTAAACAGTTTGCATTCAAAAGTAGATTTATAGAGTGATAACAGGAGGTAAAAGATGGTAAAATGGTGTGAGTAATGATATCCAAAAATACACCACCAAAATGTATCAATGCATTCGCAGCTCATTGAATTTCGTACTTCATAGGGAAGAAGGTCCGAATTATGCGAGAACTATCTGTTTTGAGGTTATATTGTGACCCAAACAGACAAATTATGATTCCATCTAAACTGGGGTGTTAACAAGGTACTCTAAATGGTTACCACGAGTTTACAGGCATCAATTCTCAGGTCGAATATTCTCTTGGCCAAAGAGTCATAACCACTCAAGGACTCACCTAATTGGTAGCAGATCGATTTTTTGGGGAACAAGCCTTGTGCATGGCGTATCCGAGAGTGAAATCTAGACCTATCCTTCATTACGAATGTATCACGACGAGCTTTCAAAGCCTTGGAAGACAACTTATTTTACAACCTAGTTTTCGGAATCTAATCCAAATTCAGGGTTTCAAATGTCTTTTTATGGGGGCACACCCCTGTAGAGTAACTGTAAATTGAAATAAAACAAACAAATAATTATAATGAATGAAAGTGATGGAATATCATTTTAAATAGTAATGACACGCCCATTAGCGAGACAAGAACTGGTTCGCCCATCAGCGGTAGGCAAATGGTAGACAATATGTAATAGAAGTTTCCAGCAATATGTAAACAACAATTACAGTACTCTATTACTATTTTTTATTTGCTATAAATTAAATGAAACTCTTGTGAATGCTTTTGGTCGTTCCACTGCCGTAAACAACGACGATACTTACCGAATGTGTAAACTACTCCAAAGCTTAGCATAGCGAAGAGACCACCGACGAGGACCAAGCCAGATCGGGCATGAGCAGGAACCCTCCGTAAAATGATGTCGTTAGTTTCCATAAATAACTGAAATTACAATAAAGTTAGACATAAGCAAAGTGTGTGGGTGCAATGGTCGATCAATAACGGTATAAACAAAGTCGATGAACGCGATCGGATGATTGCACTGATGACATCGGGGAAGTCCTCGGGAGAGACTGTGGGAATGCTACAGAAATAGGACATATCAAAGTGATATTCAAAGAATCGACCTAATGTGGGAATAACCCCGACAGAAGCCCTTTCGAAAAGGTTCCCGAAGGAGTTGTCTAAAAACGGAGTTAGCTTATCTAGTAGAAAGCGAAATTGAACGTGGGCAGACAGGCCTGAAACAAAAGGCTGATAAGACCTGGGGGGTTATCTAACGCATCAGACCACACCACGTATAGTACGAATCAAGTTGGAACAAGATCAAAACCATCGTAATTCACTAGCAGAATTTCACGATAGGACCGTTTTTTGAATGCTTACAGTAATCCAAGGAATCGTCTAGAGAAACCTCTTGAAAATCGAATTTTTTAAGGATGAGCTGACCGAAAAAAAACGATAGAGGACGAGCTTGTCTCATAAATAATTCACCTGGTATCTCTGTGTTCGAGCGGGATCGATTACCGGTCGGGCCAATCAAACAGGCCATCCCACCGATTTTGGGGATTAATTGGTACCAGGTTTGTCTGTGACCGTTGACATGGACATCAGTCAGGTGTGCCTACAGGTTATTATTGGAGGCTCATTACGCATTCAAATGATTCCATAAGCCTGGTAGAAATTGACGTGGCGCACTCTAGAGCATCACTGGATTGATATACCGTTCGAGTATCTGGGAAGGATGTTGTCTTTGGATCCCTCCACCCTCCCACGGCCCTTCTTTGATGATTTTAGTGATTGGAGCTGCCTGGAAAAAGCTCGATACATGATTAGGTGTTCTAGCTGTTACTTGTTTGGGTTGGAAGGACACGAACCAGCCAGTATCTGAACAAGCAGATGTTCCTCCATTGCGCTACCTTCACAGCGAAAACTGAAGGATTTGATTCGGGTTCCTCTCAAAGTCCCCTCAACAGAGCCCGAGAGATGACAATAACCAGTTCCTACGTTTCCCTGCTCCCTAAAGAGGTATATCGTCTCGGTTTTTGTTCTGTAATTGTATTGCTTTACTTCTCAGTAATAGGGTGGAGCTCATTGTAAGCGGCCATCGAACAGAGCTGTTCCCGAATGGGTTCCTACTGACGTCAGCCGTACATATGAGGGCTTCCACCCGACTATAGAGGTTTTTTTCTATGATGGCTCCGCAAAGAAGGGTGATCCGTTATCTGCTAGACAAGAAGGGCCCACCGTTTTGCCATAGCTGGGGAGGGGTACCGGAATCCCTTCGACTAACTCGATGGGAACGGAGCTCAGATAATGCCGATGACAGGGGTGTCAGGCAAAAGGGCCTAGCTGTGAAGCCTGTTGGTCTGAACTAAGAAGAAGATTTGATTTGATTGAATAATCAGGACCTACCGAACTACTGAGGCAAAGGATCGGTAGCATACTCGCACCTCAAGTACTCATTGACTTAGACTTACACTTACATATAGCCGAATTAGCAAAACAGCTTAAATTAGGATAAATACGCCGTTGAAGTTTTGCATTTTCATTCCTTCCAAGCTTGTGACGTACCCTAACCCATGACTTAGATAGTCTCGATCGGATGGGCTCATTGCACTGGATTAGTTCGTGTTCAGAATGAAAGTTGAGAACGCGGCGCATTCTAAACTCAAACAACCCCTATCTAACTGACCTCTGCAACAGTGCATCCAGCAAATCCCGCTGCAAGGTGTGAAAGAAAAGTCGGACGCATGGCGCACCCCACAGGAGTTGTTAACCAATACCGTAGACTTTTCCTTCACGATGGAAAAAGCAGTAGAGGAGTAAATTCAGCTGTAAGAGACTATAAACGTCATTTCACTTCTTCGATTAGGTATCTCCAACTACAGTATCTGGCATATGTCTCAAAGGACAACTCATTTGCGTATCATCATCATCATTGTCGTCGTCGTCGTTGTCGTCGCAACGTGGTGTGGCTCCCGAGATACGGTAGTCCTCTCATTGCATCAGCTTGATCTCATCAAATAAATATGTGAGCACCCAATACATGCGAGATTACCTGGTGTGCCCCGTGGAGGCAATCACGCATCTCACAAACACGTTCTGCGCCTCTCAGCAACCCATACTACCTGCGTTCCTCCTGACTCATCAATTCTCGAGTACCGTTGATTGGATAGGTTACTGCGGGAGTAGGGACGGGGCGCACAGCGAAGCCACACAGCTAGCTCTCGACTGAGACACCATCAATGGCTGATGGCCATGGCAACGACGACGACTTGTCAGCTCGTCGCTGTAATCGTTAAATCCGCCATCGGATGTCTTGACTGATGAAAGAGCTCTTGAGAAAATCTACTTGAGAAGGATGAACTCCCTCCTGATCGGATTTCTATCATCCTAGAATCGTTCTTCTGTATGAAGGACGGTTCAGGCTGATTGAAACCCGATCACGAGCCATCTATAGAGTCCAAAAGCATCCATTTTCTACCTTTAAGTGAGAGTGAAAAGTTCGATACCTATCCTTCTGTTAAAGGAACAACTAGTTTAGTCCTTTGTGATTTATCTGAGCTATCTTCGGGTAAGTTGAAAGCTCTGTTCTCTTTCTATTCTCTAGGCTGGCCGTGTGATACCCAAGGTAGGATGAAGTGCCCCAGATATAAATTCTCAGAAGGCAAATAAATCAGAGGTGGGTTGCGTGATTCCTACGGGTTCTCGCAGAAAGACTTCATCTGGGAAGTGCTACTTCTCCCAATTTTCCTATAAATGCTCGAGCAGGAGTGAAGAATTTTGGCTCTTGAAATGCATACCTGATACCGCATTCAAACACCCAGAAAGTTCCAAAGATTATTGGTAGGTGGGAGCTTAGAGGGCCTAAGAGTGAGAGCGTCTGATCTTTAGATACCTAAGTATCCGGAACTTTCTAGTAAGCAGTTATCACAGAAAAAGGAGCTTCCTTCGAGCAGCACCAGGACATTAGAAGAGTGGGTGGGCCGATAAACGAGAGCCATTGAATGTGCAAGAATGCCAAGAATTCTCGGCAGCACTCGAGGAACGATCCCTAATTCCTAGGAGAAGCCACCCTAGAGTAGAGAAAAGTTCCAATCTTTTTTCAATATCTCCCACACACCCACAGAAAAACTCTCACATCACTAGGGGCGATTTACAACTATTCTAAGCCGAAATACGCAGCAAAACGACCTAATTATGGGTTGCACCTGATCAAGTATGTGCTCGATCTGACTGAAGAGGGCCATTGTCTTCTGAAGTACACTTACCAACTAACTTTCCAATCGCAACAGTGTGCCATGAGCCTGAAGGCGAATATGATTCATTCCAAGGGACCTGCTAGGTGGATGACTCTTTGCATTTTTCCCATGGGACAATTCGGGAGCCTCTCCCCTAGACAGCTCAGCACAATCGCCTCAAAGGCTGACTCTATGCGGTCCTCCCGATCAGCGCTGTGCCTTTACCAGCCATGAATAGCCGCCGACTGTGACATAGCACTCCGTCACATGAATTGTTTGATTTGCTGGGTTGAACCTGCACCCCACCACCACCATCACCCACCTCCTCATACACTTCTCTATGCGATCCCCCACTCTTCAAACCATAATCACCCCTACAAATATAGACACCCTTCTAGTCGATTGTCATCGTTGAGGATAAAGGAGGCATTCACAAATGCACCTCGCACGGTCGTACGGTAATCCATTTCATTGTTACTGTCATCGTAGTTTCTTAAAAGATAGTTGTAATATACTGTATCTGGGGGTCCTTCGTACGGGGAATTCTATGCACAGGGATAATGGTCTATTTATCATTCCGAATCCCTTGTTTCCCAGATTCTCAAGAAGCAACCTCTAATGAGACTCGCTGATTGGAATTCTGAGTTCCCACAGTTTCATCCTAGCCTGGGGAAGCGAGCTGGGTGATTAGGAATCCTGTCTAATGCAAACCGATAACACAAGAGAGTACAAGAGGCTCATTTCTTGGACATAATCAGAGAATGGGAGTTGCATTTAGGGGTTTCTAGAAAGTTCAAGAAGGAAAGAAAAAAGTGAAGTTCCATTTTGATCGGCCTTTCCCCCTCCC